GATGTGATTCACCCTAATGTGTATTTTAGCATTCATAGCGAGTGCTTAAAGAGAATCAGAAAACATGTAGAAGAGAAGCAAGAGAAGTTCAATTAATCCAATCAATCCATCATTCAACTGAGTCCCTTTCAGTGCTGACACTCCTGCACAAATCATACTAAGTTTTGGCTTAGTGAAGCTATAGGTATTTCAGGGATCACCATATAGCTGGTACAGGAACCATTAAGTCAAACATGATTTGGAAAAAACAAGTATTTTTAGGAGTATGAGACCATTAATATAATTCTCAAGACAACAAGAAATTCTAACTGCTACTTTTTAGAAATCAGATAATTTAATTAGGATATGGAAGCTATTTGGCCTGATATATAAGGATTGACAGTGCTAGAATTGAAATGTAAATGGCTAATCAAGTGAAGAACCAGAAGCTCTAGTACTCTACGAATTTCTCAAGATCATCAAGGAGAAGATACCTGCTGTTCTGACCAGCACAGGCTTGCACAAAACCAGTGAATGCACAGTGACACCCTGAGGTACTGGTAATATGAACAAGTAGCAGACAGAGGTGGAGACACAGCAAGGATTCTAGACTTCATTTAAAATGAATCAGCAATTTCAATGGGTTCTGTCTCATTGCTGTATCTATACCCAAGTAGCATCACAACAACAACAAAAAAATCTTAATTAGCAATGTTTAAGTGTGTAAAGGCTAAAAGGCAAATGTTCCACTTGTACTCTGTTGCTACAAAGAATTTGATGCTAAATCTGCCTTGTCACATGAGAGAGGGAGAATATAGAATGCTAGTAACTAGAAATCCCCATTCATTTACTACACTACAAAAATACTTAATTAAAATATAACAATAAAAAGAACGTGTTTTTAATTTCAGAGAATTAGGTCCTTCAGAGCCAAGTTATCAGAAAGCCATTAAAATAAAGAAGTTGAAAACTAGATTTGCACTGGAGCAGAGATCACCTGGACCATATATATGGCTGGAGTTTCAGGACTGCAACCACTGTAAAAACTCCATTTGGAAGCTGTACCCCTCCATTGCTTGAAACGGTAAATTGGAGTATGCTTCTCCAAACCAAAACAGAAACAACCTTCAGTAGATAAAAAATTGGGGGTTTTTGTGGGTTTTTTGTTTGTTTGTTTGTTTTTAAATGGCTACTCCTTCCTCTAACTCAGGCCAGAAGAAAGAGGGAGATGCCAAGGAGCTTATTCCATGTGACTGCTTTATCCTCAGGTACAAACACTGGGTGCACAGTGGGTGTACTTATTGCTAAACAAGAACATATAATTTTAAGGTCTTTTGGGCTTATTCAGAAAGACCGAGTGAAGCATTTGGACAAAATATAACAGCTATGAATTCTGACTCAGATGCCAACTACATCAGCAGAGATTCTGAAAGTCTAATTGTCTCTTGAAGCAGAAAAGCAGCAGATGCAGAAGGAAACACTAGCAAACATAAGAGGAGAGAAAGAACTCTTCAGTATTGAAAAAAGTTTTTAAAAGATGAAGGAACAGCAGGATGAAAAATACAAAAACATTTCCACAGACACTCAAATGTTCCTACAGCACAGCTCAAGAGCCACTTGAAGCCTGCATTTTTTTCTGAATGAAGCCCCAAAAACATATTTCAGTGTGTCCACCCTATTAAAACTATGTATGAACTTTTTTATGCTGCATTGAATGACCTTCTGTGAGAAAAACCTCACCAACCATAGCTCATAACCTATGTTTAAAATTAAATGAGATAGTTTATCTAGCTCATATTTACTGAAACTCAGTCATTAATATCAAATATTGCTCTATATTTAAATGACAGATAAAATTTACAAGTTAGCAGCTTTGACAATTTATTAAGAATGCTCAGTTTATCCAGTGCAGGAGAAAAACTGAAATTTAAAGAAAAGAAAGATTACTGCTGTTTTCCACTGTCTAAAAGGTGTATCATCATAAGCAAATCGTGGAAATAGCTATCAAATCAAGATACGACACAACGGAGTATTTTTCAAATGTATGATAGAATTAATGCCTTTAAACAGGCACATCCTTCAGTATGAACAAAAGGAGATTATTTAAATTAGAAGCTTCAATCAAGAGAACTCTGAGTTATTAGAGAAAAGTGTGGACCATGAGAAAACCACAGCACTATGTGATTCACATGTGTTGAAGAAAAGTGTTACCAACACAAAAGCTTAAGACATATCCTCAGGGAAAACAAATAACAACCAAAAACATTTAAAAATGTTTCAAAGTTAACATTAACCAGATGGCATACCAAAACTCTTCACCATTATCTTCATCAGAGAGAAATGTGACAACTGTCAAGTACTCTCTGAAGAAAAGGATTTCTTTCTCCCATGGACAATACAGGATTGGTTATGACTCCAGCAAAACCTGAAATGATTTCCTTCATCCTACATTGGCATTACCTTTCTTGAATACTTCATCTGCAGGCATGCCAGAGTTAAAACCTGCAAGTGAACCTCAAGAATTTTTTCCCAGACTTCATAAAATAAACATTCTTAAACTCTTGTCTGTGAACCCATGATGGACTTCAGAGCATTACAAGTGGTCCTATTGGAGCAGGCAGAAATTATGCACCTGATCTCGTTTTGAAATTGTGAGCTAAGCTTAAGAACAAAGAAAACCAATAAAACAACAACAACAAAACACAACAAGCAAACAAAAAAAACCCCACACCAAAGAAACAGGGAAAAAAAAACTAAACACAACAAACAAACAAAAAAAAACCAAAACCCACCACAACCAAAAAGCCACACTGACAATTTTTTAACTGCCAGTTGCTCTACTAACTACAGAAATCTTACAGCATTGTAAAAGGAAAGGATGCAATCCACAGAATTTTACTCAAGCGAGGGCCATTGTACAAAAAAACATTTCCTGAATATCTATATGAGAATGAAAATTTGGTCAAAATTGCAGTCTTTTTTGGACTTCTGTAATCTATGCTATTTGAGCTATTTGAGCATTCTGTGCAATTTTTATGTGATTTAAACAATTATGTATGGAACAGTGAAAAACCTATTACAAAATGTATATTAGAGATATGAAAAACATCAAACTGGTACAGTGGATCATTAATTAAATATATAAATAGATTAAAATGTGAATGAACAATTTAGCATCATCAACATAAAACATAATGATATCGCTTAGCTATCGTCTGCCATATGAACAACAGTCAAAGATAAAGCTGCATGGCAAATTTACATACAGGATTTTCTGACTTTAGTTTGTCTTATCTGAAACTTTAACTTCTCCAGACCATAGCTGTGATATTAACTATATACATTTTATCTTAAAGAGTTCCACCAAGATGTTAAGACAGAAATATAAAAAACTCCAGATCCATAAACTAAATCTTAATTTAAAAAATCAGCTACTGTTGTGTTAGAACTAAAAAGAGATTTGACACCTTCCTCCTACTTGTATCCCAAAACTGAGATTAACAAAATCATCCTCAGCTCTTGCCTAATCTTTGAGTTGAGAAAAATACAGATTCAACCTCAAAGCGCAGCAACTAATTTTTGTTTACTCTTTCACCATTACTCTTTCTGCAAAGAATTATAGACTTGGTCTACCTTTACCACACAGACTGAACCCTCTGAAGATAGGCTAGATATTAGGAAGAAATTCTTTACTGTGTGGGTGGTGAGACATTGGAACAGGTTGTCCAGAGAGGTTGTGGATGCCTCATCCCTGGAAGTGTTCAAGACTAGGTTGGATGGGGCTTTCAGCAACCTGGTTGAATGGGAGGTTTCCCTGCCCGTGCACAGGGGTTGGAACTAGACGATTTTCAGAGTCTTTTCCAACCCAAAGTACTCTATGATTCTCTGAATCTATGACTTATAAACAATCCTTTGTTGTAGGAAGGATAAACATGATGAGCACTCCTCTCTCTTGCCCAAGTAACCATTAGGTATGACAGAGAAAGGGAGAACCAATATGTAATTTAACGATTAGCTCCTTTCACACATAAGACATGGGTTCTAATCCTTTCTCTTCTTAGCACTTACTAGTTTGCTAAATTTTCCTACAGAAATAGGTTTAAATAAAGCTACAACAAGGTTTTTTTCTGCTTTACAGCAAATATGAGACACTATGATTTCCTGTTCTTAAATACTCGTAATTCTTAGGAGCTTTTCTTTTTCAAAATATAAAAAATAGCTAACTTCTGTCTGCCTTTGACAAAAATAAGGTAGTGTAACACAGAGGATAAAGGCAGGTATCATGATCATGGTAAACTATGTCATTAAACCTCTTCCACCTAAGAACACACCGTAGCAATTTTTCAGTATTGTAATGTATTCACAGTTTTGCCTCCAAAAGTTACACACTGTGTATATAAACAAAGTGACTTCAGCCTAAACATCCAATGTCTGATTCTTCTTCCCTGACAACATTATTACAAAAAAAAATGTTCCAAGAAAGCGGCATTTATCTCTACTTTTATAAAATGAGTGACCCTTTAATATAATTGGGTAAAAATAATTCACGTATAAAATATGTGTATAGTACTGGAACAGAGGAATTTACTTTCCTTTCTAGAATTCACAAAAGAAGTATTACATATTCAGAAGTTTATTTTAATGAATATGGACTTATCTGAGAATATCAGTGCTTTTCACACTGAACTGCAAAATTCTACAAAATTTTGGGTTAAGTTTCATTCATCATGATCTGGAGCCTGCCACGAGGGACCAAAAAAATAATGAATTAAAAATACTAACAGAAGAAACCCAACTTCATCAAGGTCAATGTTCCTATTAATTTTTATGCAAATTTGGAGAAGAATAATGGTATTTGGGAGTTTTTAATTTATTTTTTTTTAATGTCTCTGATTTAATATGCTTCAGCTCAATAAAATTAGTTGCCTTCACCTTTAGGAACCATATCACCTGTCCAATGAAGTTAAAAGACAGGAAGGTAGACACCAAGGCTGAGGATTTGTTGATTGCTGTGTACATACCACCTTTCATCATCCCCACTTCATAGCACTTTCTTAATCGGCAAGCCTGGCAACTCTTTCTTCTGTTCTTGTCGATTGTGCACTGGTTAGTAGCAGGACACATGTAGTCATTGTGCCCTGTAAAACCAGAAGTAAGGACACAGTTATACACAGACATAACAAAACCACCTAAAATACTCTCTTATTTTTCACTATTTTGTGCAGCTTCCAACACCTCAGGAAGAAGGTAAAGTTGCCATCACAATCCATCATAACAATTTTGATAGACAGTGAAACTAACATCTAGTCACAATATGTTTATTGACAAGTTCTTTAAAAGTACTATTAAAAACACAAATTAAAACTTCTCTAGAATAATTACAACTATGAACAATTAAAGCAGTCACAAAAGAGGATAGATTGATATGAACAAATCCCTTGAATTCCTTGCACTTAGCCTGAGAAAAACAATGCCATCTGGTCCATGTGCCTGTGTTGATGTTAAGCCAACAGACTGCACAAGATCATTAGAGGTTTATAGCATTAAAAAGGTCTATGCACCAAACATTTTTTTATATCTTCCATAATCTGAAGCAGTTAAGAAACAAACAGCATAAAACAGAAGCAACAGCTATTAATTAATTATATCTCAGAGATAAATCAGTCTCTAATTACAATTGCATGTCTATTGATATATGCAAAAAGCTTTTGCCATTATAAATGATTCAACTGAATTTGGTACTGGTAACTTTCTTCAAAGCTCTGTTTGCTCATTATTATCCCCTACATCTCAATTCTCATTACAAATGTTTTCAGCATGCCATAATTTGTTATTGTCAACAAGCCTCTATTCCAAATTTCTCTTAAAAATGTGTGCTTAAGCCTGCTACAAAATTATTTTCCAACAATAGACAAAGTTTATCAAGGACAAAATACACTATCCAAAATGATCCTATTGGTGCTCTGTATTAATCTAAACACAACCAAGGTACAGCACACAATGAAACAATTTTACTGCAGAACTGTGTGTTCTTTCTTCCAGGTCAAGGGATCAGCTGGAGGTAGAGTAGGGTAAAAGTTTGGTCTCATCAAATCATCTATCCTTGACTAGAAATTAGAAAATAGAGTAAAAATCACTATCAGATTACAGCAGGAACATCTGCTCTCTAATGCTACATAATTCGGATCCAATCAAAATAAGGAGCCAAACTTTAAATGTGTCAAAATGGTGACAGCTGACTACACACTTTGTCAGATAGACAGAATTATTATTTTTTAGTTGTACTTGACAGAGCAGTGTAATACTGAAAAAATCTGAATCCACAGGCTTTGCTCTGGGGCTGAGGTAAAAAGGTAGAAGAGAAACATTCCCTCAACCTCAGCATGAAAGACCATTTTAATTTTCAGTTCCTCTGGTAGGATACAGATTGTTCTATACCTGATTCAAAACACTTCACATGTAAGGAGAAAAAAAGTCAGACAGAAAACAGCTTCAACCATAATACCATATGTACAGGGAAAAACAGAAAGCTGTGCTTTTTGGAAAATGCACAGAACAACAGCAAAAGATTGTAACACCTGACCTCAATCACCAGCCTTGTTTTATAAGCCAAGCTCTGCAATAGTATGAGAAGACGGAAAAGTTAAATTACTCTTCTTAAAAACAAAGACAGACTTGGACAGAGTATCTGATCTTCCTAGGGAAGTTAAATAGTAAATTCCTAAGGGAAATAGGCACAGGCTATGAATTCAGCAAATAATTCAGAACACCATTTAGGTCTCTGTAAAATAAGCAGATAAATGTTCCCACATAGGTCAAAGCTGAACACACACTTGTCAGCTTTTCTGGACTGGTTGATTCTCATAATGCTCAACTCCCAAAAAAAAAAAACAGTTACAGTATGCAAAAATCAAGTCAAGTGGAATTACTATCAGCAGGGCAGCCATCCTTTTCCACAGTGCTTAAATGAGTGATAATCTTTTCTTTTGCTCTGAACCTGCATTTCCTTATGCAAACCTCAAGCAATGGGGAACAGGCATTTGGTTTGTAGAATACTACAAAAAAACCCCAATCCTTTCTCTGATAGAGCTACAGTCTCTACTGAAATTAACTTGATTTGTATAATCATATTTTTACGTTGAAAATTTTATCTTAAATATAAGCTTTAAAGGCTATCGCAATTAGTTTTTTTCATGCACATGACCTGCACCTTAGACAAGCCACTCCTCTTTCAAAGTGCTTGCCAGATCTCACAGAAAAAAATTGTACCGTTTCGAACACATAAACAGAAAAAGTGTGTGAGGGGCATACCTCTTCAGATTATGAGTGCCCTAGTAATGTAATTGTTTAGACTACATACTTGCTGTAAATCTTGGAAGAAGAAAATGCATTTAATATCTCTCATAATTTTTTGTTCAGTTTAACCAACAAGCCTTCAGGAGACCGGCAAAGATGTAAGCAACCAGAAAAAAAGTACAGAATTAGACTATACAGTGGAAAATATTATCAAATTAATTAGGGAAGAAGATAGAAACAAAGAGAAGAAGGAAGACAGGAACCTTTCCTGCTTCTCCACAATATCATCTGATTTCAAGTATTCAGTCACAGGAAATTTCCTTTGCAAGGCACGGACACAGACCAGGGCAGTCTAGCTTAGGGTGCCCTAGAAGTGGAACAGATAGAAGAATACTGACAGAAAGAAATGTCTTCAGTGATCACTGAGGATCATAAAGGAAAAGCACAAGACACTTGGCCTCTGTGGTCTTACTGGGTTTGTTTAAAATAAGTTATTAGATAATTTACACAAAATTTAAGGCCATAAGTTTAATAGGGTAGAGTCCTTACTTTTAATCCTCTTGCACTGTCTTGAGCTATGAAGGGTTTAAGGAAGCTATTTGAGGAGCTTGAGGAGGAGTGGACTGTTCTTCTTATGATATCTCACATATTGTACATTTTAAAACAGTAAAAATAACATTAAGTATTTTTATAGCACTTCACTATATGCTAAGGTCTTTCCAGAACATGGTACAAAGATCTGTCTCTTTTCTGAAAGCACTAATTTTAGATTACAATCTATATAACAACCAATAATGGAGAGGGGGAAGATGAGGAAGCAAAGGGTCAACAAGAAGATTAATAGCAGAAATTAGGAAGATTTTGAGTTTATTTTATCCCAGCCTGTCATAATCAGAGCTTTCTCTTACTGCACATGCAGTCTAACTTTCTCTCATCACCATGAGTCATATGTCTAGTATTTATGTGCAGATACTCATCACTGTCAGTCTAAGGGTTCTCAGAGAGCTGTGGTGTATGCACAGCAGAGCATGCTTGAATCAGAGTGGGCAGATTATTTGTTTGTGAAGGCTTCAGTCAGCAAAACACTTCATATTTCTTTAAAGTTAAGTGTTACTACATTCAGCATAACATTTAAGCATCTGTGTGCTTCTAGAAGTAGTCCCAACACAGTATATATATGGTTGAAGTTAAGTACATGCTTGAGGGTTTACTGAATTGCACCATTGAAGAGCTGCATTAATTTTATACTTCACCAGGAAGGATGAAAATTGGGGTCATAGTAATATATCCATGGCAATGAAGATAACAATGTCCTGAGTTCAGCTGGGATAGAGTTAATTTTCAGAAGAAGCTGGGAGGGGACACAGCCAGAATAGCAGACCCAAACTAGCCAAGGGGATATTTTACATGGCATGTGTCTTGCTTGTTTAGTGGTCAGGATGAACCTCAAACCAGAGGGCAGAATTGCTCTCTATTATGCTCCCCTGCTCCATCCTTGCAAAGGAATATAAAAGTGCAATAAGAAAGAGAGACTTCAAAGGTTGGAAATTAAAACTGGAACAAGTTTACTGTAACACAGGAAAAAGGAGTAACACATAGGGTAAGGAACATATATATAAACATATGTACAAGCATATACAAAACAATCTCAATTGATCACAGGAACAGATAGGTGAGAGGCCCTTGCAGCAAGGCCGCCTCAGGAGAGGGGCCCATGGCTCTTCACAGCACCTGACAGAGTTGGATTCTGCAGAGCACATGGCAAGTTGAAGAACCTCCAAGTAGCATCACCAAACAAAAAGAAAAGCACAGGAAAAAGGGGCTGAGCTACCAGTTCTCCTGGCTTTTAGAGTATGGCAGGAAACAGGAGGGAATACTGACTCCTCCCTGTTCCAACCCTCCAGGGTCCTCCAGGGTCCTAAAGACCCTCTCTCTAGTTCCTCTTAAGAGATGTCAACAATTTGTCATGTCCACTCACACCATAACATTACATAAACTGGGTGAATTGGCTGGGGAAAGTGGAATCACAGTTTGGGAAGAGGCCAGACACTGGGTTCCAGGCAGTGAGGAATTGCACTGTGCATTGCTTGCTTCATACAGTCTTTTAATATTATTGTTATTACTTCTTCTCTCCTTATATTGTCCTATGGAACTGTCCATATCTCAACCTGTGAGTTTTTACCTTTTTCTTATGAGTAGTTGCAGCCCAGAAGGCCAACTCCATCCTGGGCTGTATCAAAAGAAGTGTGGCCAGCAGATTGAGAGAGGTGATTCTGCCCCTCTACTCTGCCCTGGTGAGACCTCACCTAGAATACTGCATCCAGCTCTGGTGCCACCAGCACAAGAAAGATGTGGACCTGTTGGAACATGTCCAGAGAAGGGCCACAAAAATGGCCGGAGGGCTGGAGCACCTCTCTTATGAGGACAGGCTGAGGGAGTTGGGGCTGTTCAACCTGAAGAAGAGAAGGCTCCAGGAGGACCTCATAGTGGCCTTCCAGTACCTGAAGGGGGCCTACAGGAAAGCTGGGGAGGGTCTTTTTACAGGGGCTTGCAGTGAGAGGACAAGGGGTAATGGTTTTAAGTTGAAAGAAGAGAGATTTAGGTTAGAGATCAGGTGCAAATTATTCAGTGTAAGGGTGGTGACACACTGGAACAGGCTGCCCAGAGATGTTGTGGGGGGTCCATCTCTGGAGGTGTTCAAGGGCAGGTTGGATGGGGCTCTGAGCAGCCTGTTCTAGTGGAAGGTGTCCCTGCCCATGCAGGGGAGCTGGAACTTGATTATCTTTAAAGTCCCTTCCAATTAAAAAAATTCTGTGATTCTATGCACACCTTAAGGTGCCAA